TGGCGGCCTGTGATGTCCAGAGGGTCTCTAGATCAGTATCCCCTCCTCCTCATAAAAAGCCTTTCTTTTCCTCTAAATGCGAGCACCAAACTGCTGGCCATTAAATGTTTGGTCCACCACAATAGAGACATTAACACACGAGTGAGTAGCTCTGAAAAGCCTGTTAGAGTGTTAGGTGAATTCAGCATGGCAGACGACCCTAGCAGCGAGCCCCATAGTACCACAAGCCTAGTGGCTTCAGCTAGAGGTTGAAACCTGGACTGAACTTTTGGGACTTCAGTGATACACACACACACACACACATATATATATATATATATATATATATATATATAGTCTCTTCTCCAAGGCTGGAGTTATTTGAACAAAAGACAAATGAATTGATATAGAAAACAGAAATAACAAAGTCTTTACTTCAATGAAATGCAACCTCATCTTACTGAACAACTGAGATGTGTACGTGAGTGTGTGTAAATGCACGTGTCACAGTAACAGGCAAAATACATCTGCATATCTTACTTTTTTCGAGGTCAACAGATTACTTTCTTTTGTGGTTCCATGTGCTTGTGGCTTTTTTTTTTTTTTTTTTTTTTTTTTTTTTTTTGACGTGAGTTTCCTTACAGCAATGAATCTGCACAACAGCACAACCTGCCAAATAGAACAATCTGTAGAATGAAGAGTTGGATTTGGCCCTCAATCCAAGTCATTATTACTGGTTGACCTTTGAGGGTGAAAGGGGGAGAGAGCAGGTGACCAGAGTTCAATCCTTTTAGAAAATTGCTAAAAAAAAAAAAAAAGGTAGAGAGTGAAGCATTTCTTTTGGACAAAAAGTCAACAATTAAGCTTTGATGTGGCTCAAAATGACACGGAATGGCAGAAATTCAAAAATGGCACGAATTAGTCTGAGAAGAAAGGTTTTGTGTGTTTGTGTGTGAGAAGAAAGGTTTTGTGTATGTGTGTGACTGAAGCTAAATGTACACCACCAGCCAGTGATTCTATGAGGAAATCTTAACAATAGCTCTCTATCCTCCTCTAATGGCCATTTGTTTTATGAAAGAGAAAAGGGGAATATTGCATATATATTTCATATTCTCTGCTTTGACTTTGACAGTTTCTCCTGAAGAGCAGAAGCTGACACTGCACTTTACAGTAGCATTCAGAGACAATCCACAGCAACCATGAGGATTGTAAGTGTCTTAAAGACATCTCACTCATGGTGGTAGTTGAGGAGTCCGAGAGTCTTGTCATGTCATTGATAGTGTTGCCATGACGAAGCAGAGTTTTGTTTCGAGATGAATGAAGCCTGCTAAAAACCTTCTCTTATTTTACCCCATGGGGAAATTAGGTCATTGGCATGCAGCCTGTATGGGGTGTAAATTACTGTCTTAATTGGGCACTTAGAAAGTCCCAGTTGGAGCAAAGAGCAAATGGATAAAGTAATGCTGGTTATACTGGTCAGTGTTCAGCTCTGCAATCCAGATCTGGCAAAGATTATACATTTTACCTCGCAAATGTTTACTTGTACTTTAGTCAATGCATTGTACCTTATTTATAAAATGATAGTTCTGGAGGGGAGGGGGGGAGGTTATTGTAAATGTGTTCAAATGTAGCATCGTTAGTTCAAACCTGTGGGATTTTTTCTTCTTCAGAACACAAAAACATATATATTTTAAAGATTGTTAGTATCAACATTCTTTAAATAGAACAAAGGTTTTGTTTTTGACCATTGATGGGTTTTCTGTCCATTGGGACAAAAAAAACAAACAAAAAAATGCTGAGATATTTCTCATAATATATTTTATGTTTTACAGAAGACACAGACCCCTAGTTATAAACTCCCATATCATAAAATATGCCAGTGCCAATGTTTTGTCTCAAGATGCGCATTAATGTTTTTTTTTTTCTAAGCCACGTTTATAAAAGCTATTGGATAATTGAAATAAGGCCTAATCATGGTTTAATCTAAGCCATGTCTGAAACTAGGCCAGAAAGTCAAACAGGTTTGGAACAAGAGTGTAAGGCTCAACCCTTGGCCCTACCCCTCTGTTTTGCGCGTTCACGTCTAGGGGTAGGGTGTCCCGAATCTTGTTGAGATCGAGGGGCAGGGCAAAGGGTTAGGGCTACATAGCCCTCGAAACAGAGATTTTTCAGATGCACACTCCAAACGGAGGGCTACGAGAAAGATCACAGAATGCATCGCAAATCACCGTCGGATGGCTTCGTAAACAGTAAAACATTTAAATTTTGCGCCAGATGACACCAACATGCACTATAGTCATTTAAATTAAGAAATGCTATAATAAATGACCTTTCCGATCAGAAAAGACATAGATTTCGAGGAAGGAATGTTATAATCATCACGTTTCCTCAAAGTTAAGAGCAGCTGCGCTGACTGTCAGTCGTTGTCATGGAGAAATCCTGTAAAAACTCCGCAACGGCAGAGCCACCGCTGACGACTGATGACGTATCGGGTTCATCAAGGGTTGTTCCATTTCGCAGGGGAATATTTAAACCCTTTGGCCTTTGTAAGTCTGTTTTAAGGGCCAAGGGGTACACTCGAAAACAAGGGCTAGGGCCAAGGGGTGAATTGGGATTGAGAATAGGACAGTTGCTCTTATTTTTGATGTTATAAAAGCAATAAGCCACTTGCTGCCATGTTATTTCACTACCGGTATAACATGTCAAGCATGTCTGACTTATTGATGTAATCTGTACTCTGAATGCTTTGTAAATATATCATAAAGCTTTATAGAGCACATAATTTAAGAATGACGTAAATCTAACAATAGTTAATTTGGAAAAAGTGCTGGCACGGCGAATTGACCAGCAAGATTTTAATTGAGTTATTTATTTCAGAAATATTAATTATTATTCAAATATTAATCACATCAGCATGCCATAACTGTTCCGCATAGTGTTTTTAATAGTTATGAGCTGTGTGAAAACACACTTAATAGTATGATGAAACAGAGTGTTGAGGCAGAAATGACATCAGAAGCCTGAAAAGTAATTCGCCGCTCGTTCCTTTTGAGATTTTTCTGTGGGGTTTTATCATGGAGTTTTTCGATTTATGTGTAAAGTAAAACCTGTGGTAAAAATAACTTAACTGTATCATAACAATTGGAAAGAAATCCAAGTCCAGGCATATGATCGAGGGCTAAACCAAAAAAACACAACAACGCGTATCGGCCCACTGGCCTTCATCAGGGTGTTGGTTATAACAAGTTTTGTTCTACAACGTAAATCACACCCATAGCCAAAACATGAATTTTGAAGCAATTTTGTTCATTTTATTAAAATGTACGTTTTAAATAATTAAGAAAACATGGGGTGTGAGTGTGTGTTTAGAACAAAACATCAAAGTATTGTCAAGTTATGTTTACAACAGGCATTATTTTACTCATACATAGAAAAACCCCATAGAAAAAATTCAAAGGAACCAGCGGTAAATTAGACTTCCGGGTTCTGACGTCATACCGGCTCCACTCTGGCACTGTTAGTTTTTGTTGCTCTGCCATGGCAACTTGGTCATGACTGCAGTTTCACAAGCTGTGTCCAAAATCTAACGCACTCATTTAGGGGAGAACCATTTGTAGAGGTGTTCTCAACCATAGTGGACTATAAGTAAATTAGTATACAACTGATGTACACTCAATTGCTCATACCCATAATGCACTGTGAGGGTTGCGCTGAATGAATTTTCAGTCTTGGCAGTGATGACATCCACAACAGCAACCAACATATGCAAAAGAGGCAGCCCTTCCGGCACACTCAAATTGTGTCCCAAATGACACAATACACTAAAACTGTATTCAAATGTGTAGTGAATGAATTTTATATGGTTATTTTGTCATTCAACATTGGATTCTGAAAGCCCTTCCTCTTAAGGAAAGATGCAAGTGCGTTATGTGCCCAATGTTCCCCAGATTTTTTATTTTATTTTTATTTATTTTTTTTGAGTGAGTAAAAAGCTGAATAAAGCGGCTAGATTGTTTACAATTTTCCATAGCTTACATTGTCGGGAGATTTTTGTCAACTGACATTTCTTGGAAAGATATTTTTCCAGTGTTTCATGAGCAGAACAATCCGAAAACACATTAAATAACAGTTCAGCCCATTGACGAGATGCAAGTCTATCCCTCACAGCCTCGCTATCATTCTCATTAAAAATCAAAGATGGCGCTGCCGTGAATAAGGCATATTTATGAACGGCTTGTTTTAAAATCTTCCCGGTCTACTGACATTTGTTAAGACATCTGCTTTAAACATTACAGTCCTCATGATAACCTTCGTTAACTTTACATTAAGTAAATCCACTTCAAAAGCTAATTACTCCTGGACATCAATGCCATAGAGATATACAGAGCGACCGCAAAAACGGAAGTTCAAAGACAATATTCTAAAGATGGCGGCGCCCTCGTTTCTCTGGTGCAAGGTCTATAGAATAGTGCATAAGTACATTGGGATGCACCTTCTAGTGTACAAATTGGCTCATTTGTTTTCAATCACTCATTCAAGTGGACTACTTAGGTATAATGAATGAGATAATTTGTGATTTGGATACAGGCACAAGCATGAAAGAGAAAACTGACCATAGAAGAATAGAGTACTTTAGCAATGCTAACAAACTTGATAACGTGCAGCAAAAATTAGCGTTCACATACGCGCTACTTTGCTTAGCTAATGAAAATCACTTAAACTATTGCATGTTTGTTTCATTTCGAACAAATAGCCTACGAGAGGTTTTCGTGAATAAAACTATCAAAGTGTTTCTACAAGTAAAGATACCTTAATTAAGCAGTTTAAAGCCACTTTAAAATGAAATTTGGCAGCTGTCATCGTCTGCGCTTCCTTCAGTTTCTCTGTGGCGGTTGAGATCTTTATCGAGCTCGCGCCTTTAAAAGCACCAGCGCGCCTCCCGCCGTCCTCCGTTTCCCTGGCAGCCCGTGATGATTGACACGCCGAGGCTAACCGGACCCTCCCTCTCGTCTCCTGCTCTCCTCCTCTCCTCTCCTCACTTCAGCTCTGATCGCGAGCCTCAGTAACTTTCTACAGCGAGAGGGATGCAGCGCGCGCCCAGCGCAGCCTGAAAATGGCAACCCTTTGGATTTATCCGTCCCTACTTTTCTTTCTCTTATCCTCCCTCACGCCGAGTCAAGCCTTACGGAATTACCCAGAGAATGAAGGTAAGAGGACTTTGTGTTTAACAAGTAAAGCATAGGGTTAATTAATGGCTGAGGTTTGCGGGAGACACAGTTTACTTAAGTGCGATATAGGGATGATGTGGTTCCTAATCATAAGGTGTATGAAGCAAGCAGATAAATATAGCAAGTGCATTGTTTTTAAGTAGGGTTTGTTGTAATATTAGTTCATCATGCCTGTTCATGTCCAGCAGCAGAACTCGCTCTCGAAGTGTTACCGGTGGATTGCGGCTGGACGTTTATAATATACGTATTTACACTGCACGCATGCACGTGCCAGTGATTAATGAAAATGATGGCACATGCATGGTCAAAAGTGTTATTATTAATAATGCATATAATTGCTACCATAATTTGTTGCATAAAGTAGGCTATATGAATGTCATTTGAAACATTTAAAAATAAGCTGTGAACTATTCCTCTTATATTGGAAAGTCACAGAAAAAAGTTGAGCAACATTATTATTATTTTTTTTTAATTTAATGGTTGTGGGTTTAGAAAGTTATTTAATGTTATATTAAAGTGTTTATGTTGTTTGAAAATATATGTAGGCCTATATATAGCCTAATGAATCATCTTTTTTTAAGGATTTAAAAAATGAATAAAACAAAATGAAGAACAGTCGACATGATTCGACTGTCCAGAATTGATGCATGTGTTGTGTGCAATGTGCCGTATGGCAAGCAGGATATTGAGAGAACTGAAAGTCTCTATAAGCCTGATCATTTATCAGTGACCATAAGGTGATTTGTTAATAGTGTGTGCATCGTTTCTATATAGCAGTCTCAATGCATGCAAGAAAAATCTGTTCCACAATCTGTTAAATAAATAATAAAATCCTGAAATAGCATACAAGTACCAGTTCCCTGCCACAAGAGTGAAAACACACAACACTGGCCAATTTAGCACTTTATTTGAAAATAAATTTAGAATGGTAATCTATGGTTGTATTAATATACTTGGAATGATGGTTTAAAGTAGATCAATCCTCTCAAAGAGCATTTTTTATCTATGTGTGCCAGAGCTGTGAGTTGCAGCAAATATTTCAATATGGTTTCAATGTTTGTGTGTGTGTGTGTCAGTCGAACAAGCTTTTTTTTTGGCACAGCTTAGCACTTAAATGTCAAATGTTGGAATTTGAGTTCAGGAAAATGCATCCTTGATAGACAATGAGGATAATGATTCCATCGAGATGCAGAGCTTTTGAAGTCATTTCTTATCCCGAGCAGAATAGTGCAATAACTTTTTTCCTTGGTCCTTTCAGTGAATTCAGTCAATTGCAGGAAAAAAAAAATACATCTTTTTGCTTTTTGAATCTCAGAAGCATTTAGATTGCATCAATGCCAACCCTTAAAACCTGAAGAAAATGCCTTTTATTGGAGGAAAAAAAAAACATTTGAGTGGACGATGAAACTGAGTTTAACGTGTGAAAATAAGACAAATCATTTTGTGCCCAATAAAAGGACTAAAGAGTGCTTTTCTAGTGTTGGTGTCTCTGTGGCAGTCCAGTGACTGAGAGCCGCTCTTGCTCTTTCTCTCTTTTTCTTTCCCAGGGCTTGTTTTTGTAGCCTCTTTCCTCTTTATAAGGTTTTCTGCTCTCATCTGAACCTTCCCCTCTGTTATCGCCCTAATTGGTTGACTTTAGTCCACTGCCCAATGTCTTTGTATGTTTTTGCGGTAGCTTGTGTGTTTTTTGTGTGTATATGACCAGGGTGCATAACCGCTCATGGAGTGGCTTTCAGCGCCAAAGCACGGTCTCTTCTGCTTTGTCTCCGCCATGCTCTATGTGATTGTAAATAACGTCGTCTCATCTGGAGGACGCCCGCTGTGCTTGCTCGCCGAGCCGTTAGACTGACCAACGTTTGTTATTTTAAGCCGCAGTGGGAGTGCGGGTGCCATGTTACACTGGAGCAATGCGAACACAATGACACGGGAGTCATTTGCCACATATGGACCAAAATGTGGAAGTCATCTAAGAAGGAATGTATTCTGAGAGGTCAGGGGACAGTGCTGTAGCTAATGTGAACAACAGAGGGCGCCTTGCAGCACTGGAATTCTTTTGTGAAGGATCTGTGGATCTTAGCACAATTTTGTGAAATAAACCATTTGAGGCAGAAACCGAAAAATCTGTTTTTATTTCACTATATTGAACAGGGTTGAGATTTGTTTCCCTTTTAAGATCTTAATGCTATTATGCCGAGACATCACATGTTTTGCAGACTCTTGCAGTTTCAACAAGCATGGACGCAAATAAGTCAAACCTAAATTTACAATAAAATGAGGAAGAGCACTAACAGCAGAGGGTTCATACCACCACCTGCTTGAGAAAAGATTATATTGAGTCTGATCCGGGTTGGCGAGCTTAATTCGGTTTAATGGCTTAAAATAAACATTTAATCTTTTTGCTGAACCCCTGGAATGGTCACTGATTTATGTTTTTTTTATTTCTTCTTCTTTTGCTTTAGATTAGTATTCTACCTCTGCCATGGGCCGTTTTTACTCTGATATTCCTCTCTCTTTCCTCTCTTCTAGCGAGTTTGGGTGACCTGTCCCTGTTGCATGCTTTCATTTACTGGGGTAGCAGGATTAGTGGTTCAGCTTCCCCCCAGGGGAACAGGGTCTGTTTGTGAAGGAGCCTCTGTTCTCTGCCTTTTCTCCAGATTTAAACAGTCTGGATTAGAGTGCCCCCATGGCCAAATGCCTCGGCTAAAACAAGCAAGAGAGACACACACACATTATCACGGATTCAAGTCTTATGATAATGTATATTTGATTTACTAGATTACGGCAAGTCAAGTTGTATTCTAAAATTAGAATCAAATTATACAATTGCATAAATAATATACATTTGATGAGACTAGACTGTCCATCCATCCATCAATCTGTCTGTCTGTTTAGCTGCTGTATATCTAGATAAACATACATCTAATTTATCAGAGGTTTATCTCAAACTTTTTCACAAATGTCTCTGGAAAAATTAAAATAGAAAAAAAAAGATATTTATTGCTAAACTATATACAATAATATTCATGTGCATCGCATACCTCAGATAAATTGGTTTTGGGTAAAAATAAACATTTCAGTATTGAAATCTTTGACTTTAGATTGCATCTGGTCTCATCTTGTTCCAAACAGGTATTACATTCAAATTTTTTTTTTGTTTGTTTTTTTTGGTGCATGCAGTGAACAAAACATCAATGGGGTCCGATGTTTTTGTCCATTCATTCTACAAAATATCTTCTTTTATGTTCTGCAGAACAAAGAAATTCCAAATTTGTAATTTCTTTGAGATCTCTTCGAGTTGATAAATTGAGATTACTGGAGCCTTTCTCAGGAGACTATTGATCTATTTATCGATTATACTTGTTTAACTATGTAATTGGAATGGGAATCATAAAATATATTATTCTATGATTAATCACATCAGTGTAATTGGATTGCTTTTAGCACCATCATTATTTTGTTCATGACCTTGAGCTGACGTGGACATTGATTGTCCGCACCACCGCTCTGATTCACCTCTATTACTGGGATTACTGATGGCTTTATGCTTTGGGACCTTTGGAGGCCTCTTAATTTCCCACCATACACACTATTATCACCACACATGACCAAAGGCTGAGGGCAAATGATTTTCTGGACACACAATGGCTCAAGCCAGATAATGGATTGCCAATAGTAGCAATGAAATAAAAAATGGTGAAAAAGATAGGGGGTAGACGGATAGCTGTTGATTTTAAAGGGTTAGTTCACCCAAAAATTAAAATTATGTAATTAATGACTCACCCTCATGTCGTTCCAAGCCCGTAAGACCTCCCAGTCATCTTTGGAACACAGTTTAAGATATTTTAGATTTAGTCCGAGAGCTTTCTGTCCCTCCTTCGGAAATGTACGGTATACTGTCCTTGTCCAGAAAGGAAACAAAGACATCATCAAAGTAGTCCATGTGTCATCAGTGGGTTAGTTAGAATTTTTTGAAGCATCGAAAATACATTTTGGTCCAAAAATAACAAAAACTATGACTTTATTCAGCATTGTATTCTCTTCCGGTTCTGTTGTCAATCTGCGTTCACGAGTCCGCAGTATGGCTGGGCAAAAAAAAAATGCAAGTCTTCCTCTGTGTCGAAATCCTTAGACATGTTTGCGAAGATTGGTTTGTTTACAGCGTGCGTCTCCCTCAGACTGTAAACGAAGCTCTTTCGCACCAGATAACACGTCAGCAGCTTCTTACATCAGCAACGTCACGTTCAACATTCTACCTAACCCACTGATATCACATGGACTACTTTGATGTCTTTATTTCCTTTCTGGACAAGGACATTATACCCTAACACACATTTACAACGGAGGGACAGAAAGCTCTCGGACTGAATCTAAAATATCTTAAACTGTGTTCTGAAGATGAACGAAAGTCTTACAGGCTTGGAACGACATGAGGGTGAGTCATTAATGACACAATTTTCATTTTTGGGTGAACCAACCCTTTAAGACATCATCAGTATATAAATAGATTTTTTTCTAAGAAGGACCATTTTACGTGATCAGTTATTTGTTTTGGTTGGGCTCAGGTCATTGTTTGGGGTTCTAAATTGTTTTTGTAAAGGAACCCTTTCTGTGACATGCTGGGCTAGTGACCTATATTCACTGGGATGCCCTCTGTTCTGCGGGCACAAAGCATTGACCTGTCATCTACAACTACTTGTGTCTCCGACGAATGAGCTGCACTACCCCGCCCTTTTTTTGCTCTCTCACTCTTTCCTTTCTGTTTCTACAAATGAACGCATCTGACACTCATGTTCAGTTACCGGTTCTCTGACTGGAAGCTCATTAGCAGGCTAGTCAACACAATGGAGCCTGACTCTAAACATCACGCTGTGTGCTCCGCTCTCCCTGCGGTCTTGCTGGGTCCCAGACTAGTCTTGACCTTTTATTTGTTTTAATTGAATTCATCTGCCTGCCTTTGGCCTCGGCTTCTCTCTCTCTTG